CTTCTCTCACCCCAACCGGTCGCAGTAGATGGTCGTCCCTCCCTGAGCCTGGTTCTGCCGGAGGTTTCTTCCTATTAAAAGCAAGGTTTTCCTTCCCACTGTCGCCAAAGTGCTTGCTCATAGGGGGTCATATGATTGTTGGGTTTTTCTCTGTATCTACTTTACAATATAAAGTACATTGAGGCGACTTTTGTTGTGATTTGGCGCTATATAAATAAAATTGAATTGAACTGAATTTATTGAGCTGGGTAACTTACAAACATTTTGCTTTTATCTTGGTGCACAGAGGTGTGTTTACACATTTAAAACAAAAGCCACCATAGGTGAGATGGGGCAGGACTTGGTGCTTCTTAGCAATTATCCTGAGAGTTATGCTACTAAAAACAAGAAAAAAAAAGTCAACACCACATTTGAAGCATTGATTATGCTGCTTTCATTGTTTGTTTCACTGATCACTTTCTTATATTACAAAGTCCAGTAGATTTCACTATTGGTGTATTTGCTGTAGTGGGGTCAGAGGCACCCTAAGAGCAGAAAAGGGGTGACAAATTGTTTGCACTGTGTAACACTTCTTTGTAAATTGTTGATGCATTTTAAACACCTACTAATATTTAAGAGATCATCATTTTGACTGCATAAGTTCCTCTTAGCAGGGTAACTGACAGTGAGCTTTATCTGATCACCACGATGTGTAAAGACAAAGTAGATTCAGGAAGCTACAAGTGGTCACAACTGTCAATTTTCATACGAATCTCAAATGACACCACATATTTTGAACTGTTTAAATTCCTTTGTTTTCCTAAGATAACCTTGAACTAGCTACATGATATTCTAACAATAATAATTTCTCTGATCCTGGGATATTACAGCTCAATTGTTAACTTTATAACTTTTGGTCTCTTTTATTGGCAAGTGACTAACTAAATAGTTACTTCTCCTTCCGCGCCTTGAGATCTTTCACCTCCATCTGCTCATTTCATGTTTATTAGTGCTAGTTAAATTTGGTGCCAATATTAACTTATTTTCATATTTCATATTTTTCATATTTTTAAACAATTTTAAAAATGATTTGGGTCTAATGGCTTCTTAGGAAACTAGAATGTGGTGGAAACTAGACTGTCTGGTTTACTCTCTTTGGCTGGTTTCTCTGACATTACGGTGAAACGTGTTAACTTTTTTTGTACAGTCTCAGCAAGCAGCAATATTTATAGCACCCTTATGCTTGACATTTGTAAGCTGTTTTTCAGTTCCTCCTTTTTGTTCATGCCATGCATAATAGCCGAGCTCACTACCATCTTGTAAACTTTTCCTTTTACTCTCCCTAATCCCTTTCTGTCACAAATCACTCCACCTTGCCTGTACCTCTCATCTGTACTGTCCGTTGCTTTGAATGATCACCCCCAGATATTTAAAATTATCTTAAATCAAACATATGGGTAATGTTTGAGGTCTTCCAACAGTGATATGGACTAACTTTGGAGAAAACTGAATGCATTATAAAGGACAGGCAGTGTGTTCTGAAATGTAGCTATGTGGCTGACCACATGGTAGTGTTATTGTGAGAGAAGCTGAGCTGACTGAACCTTTTAAAAGTGGTTTCTAGGAGATGTTTCAAGAGTCAAACTTGTTTGGAACAGGATAGAGCATTTCAAAGGTTTTTTAGTTAACCGTAGGAAAAGAATACAAAATATAAACAAATCACACAAACTTGCAGATTGGGACAACAAAACATGATATCTGTTGATATGCTTTGTCAACATTGGATGAAATATGTTAAATGGAGAGTCAAAAGTATGTTTTGTCCAAAAGGTTACACTGTTAAAAGAGGGAACTCCACTTTTTCTCTTGTATTTGAGTAAATGTTTTCTTGTCCTAATGAATCAAAGTGATACTAAACAAGACTCGAAAAAGTTCCTGTGAAAATGCAGCGTGAATGCAGTGTAGCAGAAAATTATCTGCCGAAAAAAGCTGAAAAAGCAGAAATATCTGCTGAGAAGAGGTGTAGAAGCTGAACTGTTTGCTGAAGACAGCTTTATTTGAAAGGGTACAGTGAAGAGTGTCAAGAATGCAGAACGAGCGCTAGCAGGGAAGCTGTGCAGCAACTGCCACGAGCAGTGGCGCTCCTAGCCTGTTTGGCGTCATAGGCGAACATTCCCTCTGGTGCCCCGGTACCCTCCACCCCACCCCCCACCCACACATAAAACATATTAAGGATTGTACATTAACATATTTTATTGTAAAAACTGCTGTCAGAACCATACTGAATTTAACCAGAGAAACATACACACACACATATGTATGAAGAGAGAGAGAGTTTGCATAGTATGCAAACGGCTAACAAACAGCCGTCATAGTTCGTCATACAATGAGAATAGGACAAATCAACAATTGAAAGTGACTAATTAATATTGTGCTGAACACAGTCCGAAAGATTCAGTAATCTACATCAGTGTCTACTGTTTACTATCATAGTCAAGTGGCTAACAAACGTAAACAGAAGTTTTCACTATCCCTACTAATTAATGTTCTATCTCGGTTGTGGTCAGTGCTATCCTCTATGCTGTTACCTGCTGGGGCAGCAGGTTGAGGGTCACAGATGCCAACAAACTAAATAAACTGATCCTAAAGCCCAGTAATGTTGTGGGGATGGAGCTGGACTCTGTTAGGGTGGTGTCTGAGAGGTAGATGTTGTCCAAGATAAGGACAATCATGGATAATACCTCCCACCCACTCCATGACATGCTTGGTACTCACAGGAGCACGCTCATGAGAGACTGAGATTACCAAAAAGCACCACGGAACAACACAGGAAATTGT